AGGAGAGATAGTTCTCTCCTTAGTATGTGATCAAAATGGAAGCGATCACATTACCAATCGCTGGAAGATTTATTAAAATCTGGATAGAATTGGCGAAGCTTTAAGGTAAAATATCAAACAGTCCCTTTATCATCATCATCCCATCTCAACCATTATTTGCCCACTCCTAAACATAGGCCTCCACCATATATTGTCATAAGGAATGGTCCCGAGCCACCTGCATCTACTTATTCCCATCATATTTTTGTAATGCAAGTAAGTAAATGTTTGTATTGGATATCTACGTAATAGCATATTTATGTTCAGCTGCTTTGATAGGTACATACATACCTACCTGTTAATCCTATCAAATTGGGGGGAAAGGGATTGTTAGCAATGAAGTTTGACAGCACCATTGCTAGCAATATGCCCTATTAGGTCGACCTCCACGTGGTTCCCCCTGGAAACCATCGTGAACAATTCTTGTTGAATTCGTCACGATGGGCCAACTGACCTGCTTCATCCTCACCTATCATTCTTCATTGTGCTCCGCCAGCGTATCCCGATAGCGCAGGCGGGGTTACCATTCCATTATCTCTCATTAAAAAAAATCCTGTCAAATTCTAGATTGCAGTTTAAAATATCTATGTCTAAAACAAAATTTTTATAAAATGTCATCACAGACAATAGTCTATTTTTTGTTCGACAAAAAGAAAAAGGTTTTCAATTTGGTTACATTTTTTATGTTTGTTACGTCATTACACCGTCAATTATTAGTATGTGTTCAAAATGGCAGCGAACACATTACCAATCGCTGGAAGATTTATCAAAAGCACTGTCAATCGATTTCGTAAATGCTTATTTTATTTGAAACGATATACTTATACATTTCCATGGAGATTTTATCAAAATCAGTTCAGTAGTTTAGTTTTAAAATAAGAAATAACTAGTTTTACTACAATTGAAATTTGAAAAGTAGTAAATTGAAAATTAAATTTGAATTCACTTTTTTGTGGAACGCGATTATTACAATTATTAGTATACTCGTATTTATGAATAATTTCATTATATTATATTATTATATTAGGCCGGCAGCACACCTGCAATGCCGTTGGTTTTATGGGTGATCATGGGCGGCGGTAGTCACTTACCATCAAGTGAGCCGCAAGCTCGTTTGCCCCTGTGTTGTAAAAAAAAAAAAAAAGTAAAAAGAAGCATATTTTAATACTCCTGAAATTGACAAGATACTTTCTGGACAAATATAAACGCTATCCAGAAATTGATAACTTATAGAATTCTGACGTCAGTTGTTTTTAAAATAGACGCGGATAGCATTAGAGTGGAGACACACGCCTACCACAACGTGACAGTGATAAGAATTTATTATATATTTATGTAATCTTAGACTAAATATAATTTAGGTATTTATCTGCTCTCAATTTAATTATAATTGGCCATTATTATTTATATTTTGACGGGTCTATTGGTAGCAGTAATTAGTATAGCGTAATTGACATTTTAATTAAAAATTAAATATTCTGTCAATTCGATATAAATTACTGACTGTGTTCCGCGATTTTATCTGCATGTATTATTATATAAAGTACCAAATGTGTTTAAATTTCATACAAATCCTAAAATATAAACTTTCATATATATAATATTAGTAGAATTCTAACTAGACAACTTTTTAACATATAAATTCACATGACTGTACTATATGCAATTAAATTTTCCTTATTTACAAGATATTTGCAGGGTATATACTATGACGATCAATTCATCTTAATATGATAATATATTAGCTGGTAAAGATTGTCTTATTGTACGTGGTAATAAGAAACTTAGGTCTTAGGTTAGCTCATATAATATTCAAAGTATCAATGCAATAACTGGTATTAAAACTTCGAGAAAAAAAACTTATCCCTTTTAAAAAGGCTGGCAGCATACATGCAATGCCTCTGGTGTTGCGGGTGCTCTGGGTGGCGGTGATCACTTACCAATACTGGTTTTGCCACGATTAAAGTCGGTTTTTTGCAGAAAATAATTTAGGTATTTGTTTCTCTAATACTATATATTGAAGAATATTATTTGAACGATTTTTATAAATTGTCATCTTAGATTATATATATATATATATATATATATATATATATATATATATATATATATATATATATATATATATATATATATATATATATATATATATATAATGTCCGCATGCAAATACTATCGCTAAAAACAAATTAACTTTTTTTTACCATAACCATTTATATGGGAGAAATTATACTGTAAGGTTTTTTTTTATACAACTTAGAATAGCAAACAAGCTGACGGCCCACCTGATGGAAAGTGGTAACCGTCGCCTATAGACATGAGCAGTACCATAGACATAACAGAGTATACTGTTTCGCCCATGAGACCCCCACATGCGTTCCCATTCCTGAGGACTCAGGTGTTATTCCTCTGTACCCAATAAATTCACGCCATATCCCACCCTTCAAACCGAAACACAGCCATGCAAACACAACTGCTTTACAGTTAAAACACGAATGGGACAGAGGTACCCAAGCAATCGACTTTTGTACAAAGTCTCCCTCTGGTAAGGTTTAATTAAAAAATAAAAAACGATACAAAATTCTTACGAATATATTTAAAAGAACAGGATAAACAGTACATAATGATTTGTACGTAACGATGCTTATCTTTACTGATTACTTTGATTTTTGTCTAATATTTTCGTTTTTATATCACTAAGAATAAATAAATAAAAATAAATCGTAATTTTAGTTAATACGTCTATATTAGTTTGTAAACAATGCAGTCGAGTCTGAGACACCATATCTCTATACTTATCTGTTAAATTAATGTTTAAATTTGATAGTTTTGCGAAATTATTTTTTTAATGTACCATCGTAAACTGATTGTGATAAATTTAACTAATAGGTTAATTAGAAATTTTATTCATGTAAGTTCATAAGAAATATTTTGCTATGTATATCAAAGTGAAATTTTTATTTTAGAGACAGGTTCAAAGAAATAGCCACCCTGGAATCGACCCCAATGAGTCATTCGTATATTCCAATGCAGATTTAAAGATATAAAGATATACACGTATATCTTATAAAATATATTATAAAAGATATTTTATGAGCCAATCTGTGAAAATTTTATTTAATTGCTTGCAACTCTGAAAAAATAGTACGTTTTGTTTTGATTTAAAAATATGCTTCAAAATTTAAACAGTCAAATATTAATTTGGCTGACTAAAAAAGGTTGTCTGGAAGGGATTACTTCGGATATAGGAAAAAACCGCATTTTGTACTTCATATACGTAATATTGTGTTATTTTATAAGTGGTGCTAAATATAAATAGTAAATAAATAAAAATTGATATTTGATATATCGATCTATATAATTTAAGATCGCCAAATTACATAATAGAGGGGGGAAAGGGATTGTTAGTGATGGAGACTGAGAATCCCATTGCTAGCAATATACCCAACCAGGTCGACCTCCTCGCGGTTCTCCCTGGAAACTATTATGGTTAATTCCTGATGAATTCATCATGATGGGCTAACTGGCCTGTTTTCATTCTCATCTATTACCCTTCACCCATCAAAAAAAAAATACATAATAGAATATAAATTGTAATAATGTTCCCCAGTTCCTATTACAAAAATCTCGTGAGACACAAAATTGGAAAACTTTTGTTTTTTATACGACTTCAAACCGTAGGAAGTCCAAGGTTCTGAATTGTGTGTGTATTTTTTTGTGTACGTTACGTGATATATTCGCCAATTCTAAATCAATTTTAATATCATTTTGTAATTGTGGGCTTTACTGCTATGTTGGTCACATAATTAATTTGTTACGATAAGTTTTTAGGGTTCCGTCATTCGTGTTAAAAAGGTTCATAACGTAGTCTCCATTTAGAGAATAATCAGCACTTTTTAGTTTTTTTCTTTATGCAACTTAGAATGGCTAACAAGCTGATGGCCCACCTAATGGAAAGTGGTAACCGTCGCCTATAGATATGAACAGTACCACGGACAACAGAGTATACTGTTTCGCTCATGATACCACCATGCGATGCCATTCCTGAGGATACAGGTGTTATTCCTAAGTACCCTTTAAATTCACGCCATATCCCACCCTTCAAACTGAAATACAGCCATGCCAACAAAACTGATTCACGGTAGAAAAACGAATGGGACAAAGGTGCTCAAGCAAACGACTTTTGTGCAGTCTCCCTCTGGCAAAAAATGAAATTAGTAACAAATCGAAACATCCAATCAATTTTTGTACTACTATTAGATATTTGCATTCATTTCTTATAGTCGGATCAATATTCAAGTAGATTTTTTAAATATACAAAATTATATATATTTTATATATATAATTAGGTGTGATGCATAATAATATGCTCTACTACCTATTCGTTAAAATTCTTATTCGTATCTACTAAATAAGGATAAATAGACATTTTCCTTTAAAACAAAATAATAATATAAAATAATACATAAATAAATTCCTCATAAACACAACAATTACCTAAGCTATGAGAAACCAAATAAAGAACTTATGTTCTTTATGTGCGGGCACATAACCAAGACGGCAAATTTAGAAAAAATCTGAAATTGGTATGACAGAGAATCGAACCTTTGAACCGTACTTGCGCCTATATATCTAGTCAAAACATGAGAATAATTTTAAATAGAAGGAGTTCTCTATTTTATATAAATATCTGCGCCAATTCTGAACCGATCACTATGGTTCACTTTCGTGATGGTTCCTTATTAATTTTGACATTTATTTTGTAAGAAAAAAATTTTAAATAATTTAATAAACACAACAATAAAAAAGAATAAAAATCGGTGAACAGCGATGCGAAAGAGTGCCCGCACTCATTTGAAAGTCGCTGCTGTTATCACTCGTCCTCCGGCCGAGGCAGAGGTTATCGTTACCACCACTACATGGCCATACGACCATCCCCTCCCACCATCCTGGAAACGCTACAAACGTATATGATGCACCAGTAATTCGATAAGCATACAACCATCGACATCGATTATATTTTAATTAATTAAAAAAAAAACTTATACGTCCTGGTAGCCGACTTTTAAATATCGAACACTAAAAAATAGTAATTGTTAAATAAAAAAAAATTGTGAGTGAATAAGACTGTGAAAAATTAAAACTTGGACACAATTAGTTGGAAATGTTAAGCGGGAAGATCTTATTGTGTTTTGTATTAGTTGCTGGTGAGTTTTCGTGCCAATTATATCACTTTAATTATTCAAGAAATAATAAAGGATTTATACGGTGTATGTATCTTATTTGTACTTTAACACCCAACCCACAATTTGTGCGTTCAATGACAAAGGAACGAAGAGACTTAAATTACTTTGTGATTGAAATTTTAAATAATTTCTAATTCAATTATATTTCATTTGAAATATTTGTGTAAAATATTCTATATTTTGGTTATTTTTGCTAAATTTTCATTAAAAGATACTTTATTATTAGTATTTACATTATCCATTCATAGATGCACGACAATATTTTTTTTATTATTATTATACATATTTATTTATTTATTATTACATATAGTATATTACTACACTAATCCGCTAATATGTACGAATGAATATTATAATTAGAAAAAGATAGCATATCAAGATAAAACATATACTGTATTTTAAGTTAGACCTTCAGGATCATAACTGTAAAACCGTATCTAATTTGGTGCAGTAATTTTTGCAGATAGACAATATATCTAAAAATATTGTTTTGGAATGTATAGTCTTATTTTTAACCGTAATTTGATTACGGTTAAAAAATTATAGTTTTTAGATTATAAAGCATAAAAGGTTACAACAACGGAATACTTGAATTGAAATAAATTTAATTTACCTGAAATACTTAAATATAAGTATAAGCATCGAGTCAGTAAAAAAGTCGAAACGAATACATGTTATTGAATGAATTATTTATTAAACTCATGACACAATAATTTATTAAAAACAAATAAGAATCATTACAAGTAAACCCTTCCTATGTCAAAATCGAAACATTTGTTAGAAGCTAAAACGCCACAGGCAAATACGCATCCAGACGAACAAAGGCTTCATTTAAAACTTCCAATAAAATAGGGTAATTCACTACTTTAGAATCTTCTTCTCTCTAATGAATAAGCAAACCCACGGACAAAGGCTTCAAACATTATAATATCACTTTTTGCCTCATCTAGCTTCCTGTTACGTCTCTGGTCATCCGTTTTAGTGTTTCAATATCAACCTGGTAGTAATCTTTCTGACTAAACCAAGGAGTCCATATATGGTTTCATTAATATAGTTCCTTTGATCGCCTCTATGCCACTAGAGAGAAATTGTACAAAACTACCCCTGTCCCACTAGTATTTCTGCCGTGAAGCAATTGTGCTTGGATAGTTGTGTACGGTTTGAAAGGCGAAATCATCATCATCATATGCTATCTGCCCTGTGCTGAACATTGGCCACTCCCATAAATTGACACAGACCTCCCCCAAAGACTGCCAAAAGGAATGATCCTGAGCCACCTGCATCCACTGACTCCCCTGCATTACATTTGTGGTCATCGCTCCATTTGGGTATCGTCCTACACGAAATGCGAGATATGGCATCAAAAATGGCAATGCATTAAGGAAAGCAAAGGCATCATAGTGTATTTTTTTGTCTGTAGTACTGTTTATATTTAAAAGAATCAGTTACTATTTCTCTAAACGAGTTGTAAATTAATGTATCGATAGACACGTTACCGCTAGCTCGTGCATGAAATGAAATGAGGTAGCGACGTGAGCATTCAGCGTCTTGATTTATGCAACGAAAATATAATCCACCAATGAATATGTTAGCCACTTGTCTGGAGAAGCAGGTTATCATCCTACAAAAAAAAAACAATGTGTAAACGCACATTTCAACTGCCACAATGAGTTTAAATACAAGATACCTACCTATTTATTCGCATTGTCGAGAATGTTTAGTCTGCGCTATTCTGTTTACATCATCAGGTCAAGGTCATGTGGTTGAAGATACATAATATATCAAATTTTTTGTCAGTTTGATGTATGGAAATGATAGCAATTGTAACATTTTAAATCTTAAATTTTTAATGCATCTCCGATCGAGGAATATAATACTCTCTACAGAATCTTCCTTTTAATAATCTTGAGAATTCAAAAGCCCATTTTGAAGGAATCATTATTAGTATTTGCTTTGTGCACGGTATTTATTAAGTCTCTCGCGTTTATTGTTAACGGATAAATTAATATCGTATTAATGAGAATATTTACGGACTAATACATTTACAAAAGCGTGCGATGGGGACACAGTAGGGTTTTAAACCCCCCTGGTCTTTACCCAACCCTGGGCAACTTTAACATAGAATAGATATAAGTACAATATTTATGATAGAATATTTAATAGGTAGAAACTTCAATACTATGGTGTAGAAGAAAGGAATAGTTAGTAATGGGATCTAACAGCCCCATTGGTAGCACTATACCCTATTTTATTTATTTATTTATTCTATAATGGCCACATTAAAAAATTATTGGTACAAAAGGAGGATTTAATGCTATATAGCATTCTCTCCCAGGCCACTCTGGCGCCCTTGGGCGCATGCGCAGTCCAGTAAGAGCTGACGCCTCTATAATTCCCCTCTCGCGGGCTTGGAGTACCGTCTGCATTCGCCCCTGCATACGTGTTCGGTGAAGCTGTAAAGGCCATTTGCGGCCAACAGCAAACACAGTTAAAAAAAGTCGACCTTTGACAAAACAGAAATGTAATTATGCGGTGAAAAATTGAAAATTGTTGTAGATACATAAACAATTACAAACGTATCCAAATGGACTTATAAAAATATATAACACATACAATGGGGAACTACTGTACATTATAATCATAATAAGGTCGACCACTACGCTTTTTCTAAAAATTTATCGCGGTTAATTCTTGTTGAATTCATTACGATGAGCTAACTGACCTGCTCTCATCCTCACCTATCATTTCTAACTAGGGCACCGCTATCGTATACCGATAGCGCTGGTAATGGCATGGTAACTCCACCATTCCATTATCATCCATAAAAAATCGTATAATCAGAGTTAAAATTATTAAAATACTTTAAGCATTGAGAAGAGTACTTTTGATCCCGGTCACGTGGGCGAAATGGCGGGTATTGCTACTAATGTAAATAAATAAATAAATAACCTTGTTAATTAACTATAAAATAGACATGAAAACAAAGAAAACAGCTGCAGAGCAAATGCCCATTAGACCGTTTGGCGTCTTGATCCTCGGGTTATCAGGCGCACGCCCACTGCAGACTCTGTCCGACGAATCGGATTTCACTGGCCGCAACACGTGTATTATTAGATGTGAGCAATCGATTCTACAGACATGCTGACGACTGATCGACAATGTAATCGAAGTTTCTCGATTAAATTCATTTACATTCCGTTTCATATTTTTATTGTATAAAAAGCACAAAATGGGGATGGTTACTGAATTTCACCTTAAAATTATGAGGAGGAATACGGAGAAAATGAAAAAATCCGTAACAATAAAGAGAACTGTAATAAGACATTCTATAGTTATAAAAATAAAGGAAGCCGTTTCAACTAAGAAGAATGACACTGATATTGTAGTAATATATTTTACAGAATTAGGTAATAAGTTAATAGTTATAATTTAGTCTACTAATAAAGGTCATTACGTCCTTCGCATTAAATGTTTTTTTAATAGGTTATAATGAAATGGTAAGCGTAAACCGATAGCGCATACGGGGTACATGCGCTATCAGTATACGCTTACGGGGCACCAGGAAGAGTTGATAAATGAGGATAAAATCAGATCAGTTAACCCATAATGACAAATTCATAATGAATCAACCAAGATGGTTTCCACAGGGAACTGCATGGAGGTCGAACTGAATATTGGTAGCAATAAGGTTAGGTCCTAATTATTAACGATTCCTTTCTACTTCGCACTAAATATTAGTTGCATGCATAGCAAGCTCAAATGAAAAATAATCTATTTTTTCTAATTATAAAGATTGGGTTCTACAAAAAAACGGACTTTGGTTGTGATAAAACCAGTTATTTTAATTTAAAAACTAATTTACTGAACCGATTTCGATTAAATATATCCTTTCAGATAAGTATATCATTTCAGATAAGAAAGGATTTCCCCAAATCAGTTTACAACTAACGGAGTTATGAGCTAACAAACATAAAAAAATAACCAAATTGAGAATCTTTTTGAATTCGGTTGAAAAATAAAATGTCTACTACATACTTACTTAATAGAAGAATGGTTTAATGATTTAAAATAAACTTATAATCGTAAATGTTTTCTGATGCGTTAATGCGCAAGAATAATCAAATCATTATATGATGAAATTGGATTTAATATAAAAATCATGTTGCCAATTCATTTATCGTTAGTGATTTTGTTGCTCTTTATCTCAGTTCCGTCAAATTAATGTATACATAATTATTCATGAAGTGTGGGAACTAAACGATACAATATGTCCTGGGGTGATTCAGCCGAGGAAGTGTCGATAATAAATCGGACTATGTTTCTGGAAATGAGGGCGATTGTGACGCGCGTCTGATAAAAAAATATAATAGTTATGCAGCTAGGACGGGGTTACTGCGCAGTATGATCTTACGTATTGTGACACTATTGCAATTGGGCCTTATCAGAGTGTATTCTGTCATCTTATAATCATGAACATAACTAGTGAGGCAATTCGATTAGTTTCGTAATAGTTTTTTTTACGCAATTCGATAAAAAACTAAGAAACAAACTGTCTGTACTCTACTGTTCAATCTGATAACAATACACATACATTTACATTGGAATTGAACAAACTTTATGTATACTTTATTAGTAGACTGAAAATAGATTTTCTTCACTCATAAAATATGCAGTAATATAATAAAGGGCATGAATGATACTCGAGCATTCGTGACTTAATTTTTTTTTGGAATAGTTACCCCGCCTGCGCTAACAGTGTACACTGGCGGGACACCAGTGAGGGATGACAGGTGAGGATGTAAATGCAGGTCATCGTGTTGTATACACCTGGAATTCAGTACGATGGTTTTGAGAGGAGCTACGTGGAGTGCGACCTGACTGGGTATATAATGTTAGTAAAAAGATACACAAACGCCCATTCATGGCACTAAATACCGTTTTTTTTTTATTTATTTCAAATACCTAATGGTAAATATTTGTTTAGTCCAGTTACGTCACATTGAATGTCAGATAGGGAATTTGTGTTGTTTACATAAGATTTAATATAATATATTATTTATTTGTGATACAACTATAAATCAACTATAAAGGGGCGTGTGCAATTATTTGTTTACAAAGCAAACGAATGATAATACGGAACGGTACAAATGCGCAATAGGGATGAGATCACAGGAAAATTTTAGGAAAATAAATAATACTGATTAGATTAAGTGAGGTCGGGTAAAATGTCACAACAATCATGGCCTCATCAAAACAATAATGGAATAAAACAAGAAATAATTAAGCTACGTTTATGTCCCCATTAATTTATCAACAATATATTTATCGGACGAAAGTGACAGCCGGCGTGTATTGTTTCAAGTTTTGCACATTTCAAAGAATAGAAATATTGCATACTGACATTAATCATTATTAATGAAGAAGAAGAAGCTCTCAAATTTGTTATTTATGTCACATCTTAGTTGGTGTTGGTTAGTCATACATTTGACCTACGGTTTTGGCATCTTAACGGGTAATCAATATGAAATTTGGTAAATTATTTTATGTACTATTTGGGGTAAAGAAATAAGTAGATGACATGTTCTTTGACCGGTATAGAAAGTATTTATCCCGATTAGTCAATATATCCCGGCCACACAAACGAAGTCGGCGGCAAATATAGTAATGTAAATACCTAAAGAAATTTGTGATAAACATGCATTCACTGATAGTAGTATCTATTGGTCTCGTGTTTTAAGAAACTTCATTAGATAGGCAGGTAGTTTAAATCGCAACATAGGTCAAGTCTTAAATAACACAACTAAACTTTGAACTTTAATAAACAACGTAATTTATTTAAATCGCAATTGTAAACACGAGACGAACATAATAATTATATTTGTTAATATGTGAGCTAATATTCTTGAATATGATGTAATTGGATCATTTTTTTTTTAATTTTACTATTTTAAAGAATTTAAATAAATTACGATTATCATCCAGTAACCTTAAAACCAAACGCAATTTAATAGAAGGGAAGGGATTAATAGTAATAATTGCTAATAACCCCACTGGAAACTTGGTGAATTTTCTATAAATATAGAGAAATTCATCACGATGCATCAGCTGACCTGCTTTCTTACTCATCTATCATCTTTCATTGATACGTTCCAGCGTATAACGATAACGTAGACGTAGACGTTTAAGTTAAAATGTTATAAAAAAAAAAACAATCTAAACCTGGCAACGCGACCTGCGTGAAACAATTGTAGACGCGTTTGTTTTGCACAAATGACGTTTCGGGTTCGATTTCCATTCTGGTCAATTTGGAAAAGGAACTTTTCTGAATTATTGTTTGATGTTTATTTCACCGCCCCTCATAATACAGTGTATCCTGGATTGAGGACTGTGAGTGGTGTGATTGTGTGGCATTTATATTATTATTATTTATTTCAGCGTGGCGTGAGTCGGCCAGTCTACCAGTGCTGCCTGCACGTATAGGCGAGGACAGCGAAATCGGTACAGTTCCAGAGGTGCGGATACCGGTGGAGATGATGAGGGAAGGGGTGCCGCCGCCTCTGTGCGCGGCCAGGTGCGTGGCCCCATCCGCAGGGCCAGTGTGCGCCTTCGATGCAACCGGCACCGCTAGGACCTTTTCTACGTTATGTGAACTAGAAGCTGCATCGTGTCGCGAGAGTACATGTTAGTAATCTATAATTGTAAAATCATATGTCTTGATTAACTATCAACATAACCAAAACTACTGCTCGTAAAACTATTGTGATTGAATTTTGGAACAAAAGTTTATTATAACGTAAACAAGAGTTTATTAGAATTTCAACTTAAACATGCGTTCAAAGCTATGTGGTACCGTGTATTGAAATAAAAATAATCTCTCGTACTTATTAAGTGTGCGCTGGTAGGATAGAAGGGCAGCAGTATTAATTAAAAATGATTAGACTTAGCCAGTTTTCATTTCCATCACAAAGGCGTATATGTTAATAAAGTAAAAAGAGAAAAGTTATAATACTTTCCTCTTTTCAAAGAAATATTCAAAATAGAAAAATATAAAAAGGTAAACTTATATATGGTAAAAAGGGTTCTGTCGCCGACACTACTAATTCAATAGCTGAACGCGTATTAGTATGGGAGGGTCAGCATTTTTACAGTTTTCTTTTATAAAAATATTCAATACCAGAGGGAGACTTTGTACAAAAGTCGATTGCTTGGGTACCTCTGTCCCATTCGTGTTTCAACCATAAAGCAGTTGTGTTTGTATGGCTGTATTTCAGTTTGAAGGGTGGGATATGGTGTGAATTTACTGGGTACAGAGGAATAACACCTGAGTCCTCATGAATGGCAACGCATGGGGGATTTCATGAGCGAAACAGTATACTCTGTTATGTTCATGGTACTGCTCATGTCTATAGGCGACGGTTACCACTTTCCATCAGGTGGACCGTCAGCTTGTTTGCCATTCTAAGTTGTATAAAAAAAAAATATTCCGTTTCACTAGTAGAATACTCCACTTAAAGGATTCTAACGATTTTAAATTCAACCTGTATATAATACTATCCTTACGCTTTTTATTTTATATATGTACTATCGATAAAGTTTTTATATAAATAATCAAATACTTAAGGACACGCACCTCAAGCTTTAATTAAATAATAAAAGTAATATCAAGAAAGTAAAATAATCTAAGTTAGAAAGTGTGTGTTAAAACTCAACCGGCGTCGTATTTTTTAATTTCTAATTATTTTATACCACGAAGATGGAAAACCAGCAATCAATCTGTCTGATTGTAAATGCTCACTGTATTATATGGACGCATACAACACACGGATTATCACATGGGTGTTGCCGGTCCTGAAGAAATTTTAATATACCATTCTTGAAGAACCCTGTACTGTAGACTATAGGGAAAACCTCGGTAGAAAGCTTATTTGTTACAGCAACTCGAGCGTCCGCAGAAAAAACTAAACTAAAATCGCAAATATTATTAGAATTGGTATCATGGGGGGTATCATGGACGAAACAGTATACTCTGTTATGTCCATGGTACTGCTCATGTCTATAGGGGACGGTCACCACTTTCCATCAGGTGGGTCGTTAGCTTGTTTGCCAATTTAATGTTGCATAAAAAGTAATTGATTTTCATATTTATCTCCTGAACATTTTTTTAAAATACTGTTTTTTGTTTCAGATTACGCGATCACGAGCCTGGGCGTATGTTGACCGAAATTTAATGCTTGAGTTTTTATTTTAGTGTAAGTTTATGTACCGCTAATTAACGCTAATGGGCGCTTCGAACAATTGCCTGGAACTTACTTGATGTTTTAGAAAATCTAGTCCATAAATTCTTACAATAGGAATACTTAAATTTGACCTTGGATTTGTGAGAAATAGATCAAAATTATAGGTAGCTAAGATTGACATTTCTTCTGTAAAAAGGTTAAAGTATAAAAATTATAATATATAATATATTACTGTTTGATTAATCATAATCCTTACACAGTTATAGAACCTATGTATAAGAATTTACGGCTGGATTCTGACAGATAAAACAAACCTTTGGCAAATATTAGAACAATGATATAGTAATTGGCAGTATTAGGTACTTACATCATTATTATAATTTAAAAATCTAACCTACAATCAATATAAATATTTGAAATGTTCCAAAAATTATGTAATATTGGTATTTTTCAATTATAACTAGTATGAATTATAATAATTTAAGTAATGTAACTTACATAATTATGATATATTATTATTATACTTAGTATAACTTAAATCTATAATGTTAGAGTTTAAAAGGAGTAAATAAAACATCGTAGTTCGTGTCAAGTTAGTAAATTATAGATTATTTAGTTTTAAGGCTTTGGTTGAAGAGTTCCTAAAATTCTAAATTAATTTTTATTTATACGAAATTGTTTAAGTTAGATTCGAAAGGCAAATTCTTTTTCCTTATTTGGTAAATTATTTTGATGTGTTTGTAATAATAATACCAAAGTCCTCTGTATAACTAAATATATTCTTAGTATGTACCTACGTTAAGTTGCATAAGTTATAGTTCTTATTTATTGTACAAAGTACGAAAATAATTTTCTTAAATGAACCGTGTTCCAGTTAAAACCGATATTGTCATTATAATAGACAAATTAGTTAAATAAAGAATTCGTAAATATATTGTAATTTATTTTCATTTCATAAACATGTTAAATATAAATAATATTAATTTATACTATTATTATTATGTTATCATTCACAGTTTGTGTGCCGAACCATTTACACTAGGTTCCGCTGAAGACGCCTAGTTTAGAGGTGAAACATATGTCGCAAAACGTGCGTGGACTAAACAGCGGTCGGAAATTGCTAATATAAAAGATTGTATAAATTCTGGTTATAATAATAATAGTCAATCTTGGAGTGTCGGTAGTCGCATACATACTAATAGTAGCGGAATTAAACAATTTAATTCTCATCAACTAACCAGAGGCATAGACTTCTCCCAAATATACAATACCTATATATATTTGTGAAACCAACATCATTATGCGTTGAAGGTATTGTTCTACATGAGAAACTAAACATTCATTCCAATGAAAAGTAGTATGTTACAAGCAACATGCGTGTCGTTTGCCGTTTTTAACTTATTTTTCCTTTAAGAAAAATGCTCGTTATTAATCTTATAGATATTGTACTGTGAAATAATATAATACCATTTTCCTTTTACTAAGCAATGAACATAAGATATACTGCTAATGTATTTCCTCTTGTCCTTCCATAAAATGTATCATCATTTCCGAAAACTATTATAAATGTAAGTATTTTGTGGCAATAGTTTAAAATTTTGATTATAGTATTACGTAGGAGATTTTATTGAATTTTTATGGTGTTGTCATGTCAGATACATAGAATCCAAAGAAATGTATCATCCACGTTGAACTGAAACTTCCGAATTATCATTTCTGCTACTTATAAAATATGAATCTGATTTCATTCAGCAGAATCGTATTATAAAAGAAATTTCTGCTTTAGTTGCTCCAATATCCAGAGAATAAATACTGAACTAACACTACAATAAAACAATAAAAGTAAATATAATCATACAAAAGCATTTAATTGACCATTTAAATTGAAGGAAACATAATTAAAAAAACACATTGTAGCGTGTAAAATAATAACTTGATTGTCATGATAATGACTGTATAATTCTAAGTTTATCTAAATTAAACATCACAGCTTCTTTGAAAAGTGGGTTATAAGTGAGAAACAACTTCTCGAAATATTAAAACTAAAATTGAAAAAAAGAGAAAAAAGAAATTAGTAAAATCTTCTCTTCTAAATCAGTAAACATTAGTGAAAATACTACGCATAATATTACTGCATATATCAAATTAAAAAATATATGTGCGCGCCAATGACGGCCTATATTTCTAGGTTATAATAAAAAAAAAAAAACATTATAAAAATAATGAATGTGAGAAAAAGAGATAACAATATCTTCAGTAAATCTTGGCGTCGAAGACTTTATCGAATTTACGAGAGACGGATACCATCAGAGCCGGGGCACTGACCGTTGCTGATCATCTTGAAATCTGAAAAAAAAAATATAACAATTAATCGTGATAATGTGTATGTACATCATAAGGTGTATAGTGTACTACATATATTATTTACATGGCTTTCCTTCCTCCTTTTCTCTCTCTAATAATTCCTTGTTTTTAGAATATAATATAACATTACAAAAACATTACATCTATAATATAAATGACATCAGAGATCTCCTGGAGATAATGAGTAGTGACACAGTTTTTAGTGCAATTTCAAAAAGGAAGAGGTCATGAATCTCCTATATTGTTTAGCTAATTCCGAATCAGTTTTCTGTCGTTTAAATTTACATGTTATCGTCCTGTGTAAATTTATTCAGAATTAAGTTAACATTTTTTATAGAACATACCAAATCTTAAATTATTACTTCGTCACCACCATACATATTTAAATTGAGAAGATAGATAATGTGGACCGTTATATACAGTAACTAGATCAAACTTACTGTTTCGAAGTACAGTTTAGAAAAAGTATAGGTCTTTTATAGGAATGGGCATTAAATATACATAATATAATATACTGTGCTTTGGTATCTGTTATGAAATTTAATGTCCAGTTTATTTTGGATCTACCTTTTAATAAGTTTAAAACTTTTATTAAAAAATACTTATTGAACAAGCCTATTCATACATTACACACTAAACGATTACTTAAATGACAAATGTGCTTGGTGTTAGTCGTTCATACACGGGCTTTCAACGATCATGTAATTTTAGACATAATACATTTAAATAAATACCCATAATGTTAATAGATATTTAAAAAAGAAACTGTTGAGTTTCTTGCGGGCTCTTCTCAACAGATAATAACTTTCCGAACACTGTATTCATAAAAAAATGACGATTTAAATAAGAGAACTTGAATAAAGGTGATTTAAATTTGAATTTGGAAACCGCCTCTTGTTAGTCATTCACTTTAATCTACAACTCGATATCGATATGCATTGGGAACCATTAACCGCGCAATTGTAATGATCACAAAAATCTTATTACTAGAATTTGGGTGCTAAACAACAGTAGGTTCCGAACAGCGATCTAATAATTTGCCTGAAGATACATCGTTTAGACGTGAAACTTGTTTCCCAAAAAGAACGAATGAACAAAATGGCAGCCGGAGATTAAAATTTAATATGGAAGGTTGTGGAACTTATAACAGTAATAGTGGTGCTCAATCCTCAAGCTTTGTCAGTCACATACATAGTTGTGGTAGCGGAATGAAACAAAATAATTCTAATCAAATAACTTGTGAATGAAAATATTAATTTCTTTATTAATATTATGAAGTTTAGTTAGGATCTGAGCCAAACAGATTTAGGTCAAACAGATTTTAACATCAAAACAATGTAACTAGAATTTAAATATCGATAAATATATTGAATGCTATTACGTTGACACTATAATTAAGCTCGGTACTAAAAAAAATTTGTGATTCGAAATTAGAATCTAGAATATGATTTTGAATTTAATAATAGTATGTGATTCCTTGTGTTTTATAAAATTTATATAGAAACAAATTCAAACACGGTTTTCAGAAATGATCCCTACATGAGCGTCAAGTGTCACGCGTTATTACCCATCTATATATATCTATGGTCACCACACTAATTTAATTATGCATTATATTTATTTTTTCCTGCTTGAACAAGTTCGTTGAAAATAACCTGTGGATATTACGTTTGAAAAAAACAATGAATTAGCGAATCTGAATCACTATCCGGTTGGTGGTCAGGCTGAACACAAAGGCTCTGTATGCGATTACCACGGCTTACGTCACACTTCACGCCCTGTGGCTTTTCTATTATATTGTTTAATGTTATACAATTTATAAAATATTGAAGTGTTAAATATTTCTACTATTATTGTAAATATATCAAAGCCGAAACTAGTAAAGACAGAATAAGAAAATTTAAAATGATCTAGGTTAAAATGTTTAAAGAATAGCATTAAGAAGGAACTTTACATTTTTTATGCTTTAGTTTGATATAATCTTCACTAAATAAAATTGTTTGGGAAGAAAAATACGAAAAATTAAATAATAAATCTGTAGTATTAACAGCTTAGATGCGTATCAGATCTAAATACAGCGTACTTCCTGGAAGCTATCGGTCCTCTACCAAGTATGCTCTGAATTGGACCAAATTGATTTACTCAGGCGAAACTGTAATTGATTACTACGATTCTGTTTTATAATTCTAGTTGTATTCTCTATTTTTTTATATGAATTATGATAAAATATATCTAATATTTTAATATAGAATGAATAGTACATATATGCGCGTATTCCTTACCATTTTTATTACCATTTTACTAGTCTACCATTTACCAATTAATTTGTTAAATAATGTATATTTAATTCTAAATAAACTCTACTTTTACCTTTTATAATAATAATAAACTTTACTTTTTAAACCCCCCCAAAGGAAGACTTATGTTTAACAGTGGATAGTTAAAGGCGGATATGATGATACAATTTCAATACAATATAGGAACCAGTTCTTACCAAAAATAGCAGTTACTATTTTTGGTTGCTATTTTAGTTACGTACAGAGTGATCTTTTTATTTTAATCACTGGTCTCGAACTAGGTAACCCTTTGACATGAAAACCAATCGCTTATCCCCGTTATTAGCTTTATCATTACTTACTCTCTTTATGCTCGCAATTGTAGTTGTGCAGGACACATTCACTGCCGAAAGACAGTGACTTGGCTCCATTCTTGCCAGCACAGAGCGGTTCAACCTTCACACTAGTGCAGTCCTGCATGCAGGCCTTCTTGCGAGCGGCTTCAGCCTTTAGCTGCTTCAGATCTGTTTTATCGGGCCGGCAAGACACGGCCACCAGAAGTACCGCTGAAATTGAGACGTTCGGGTAATGTTATATTCCATACATTAAATATTATAACATCATTATCTTTTACTCAACACAGGTCTTTCTTTCGGTCGGAAAAGGATATTAATTTAAAATCCGAAATCTACATAGCCAGCGTGGCCATGTGGATTAGCACTGACAGTGTTTTCTATGTGCTTCAAAATTAACAATCGTTCATTCATACAAGTAGAATACAGGTTTTCAGTTACGAGTATTTTACTATAGTATTATATTATTTATACTTGTACAAACCAATATCTTGTGACTTTTAACATAATATGTTGTCCCTTATTACTTTTGTCACCTCTATTGAAAAATAGTTTCTAATCAAAATTTATTAACAGAAAAATTTTTACACCACTACAAAGAAAGTTAAATTACGTACCAATATTTATTCTTTTATTCTATTTTTTTATAATATATCCCTATATTCATCCTCTTTCGAAAATCGAATAGAGTTCATTAACTTGAGTAAAACCAGTCTCAAGCAATCGAATTCTATCCTACTTTTTTGTTAAAAGATGTACATAATTATAATTGTGGAGCAAATTACATAGTTATAAAAGTCAAACTCCATAAAACACATAAACCAGTTAAGGCTCATCATACAATAAACACAAGTACATGTACCAGGTTATTATACTTACTCATCCAACGCAGTCATGGCTGACCTTAAGGAAGAACGTATTATGGTCGTAAAATAGTCAGATAATGACAGGAAGAGACTCAGTTTGAGCTAATATTAACTCGTTGTTTGTCATATTCCTTGTATGCAATTTGATGCGTGAAATTAGTTCCAAAAACTGGCACGTTCTGGTTTCAAGCGGTAAAAGGAAGTCAATAACCTATAGAAATATACCTCAGTCAACGCAGACTCTCGAGATTAGATAAATAGGTAATCATTATTTTTATTAGCCTTATATTTATAGTTTCATTGCTTTCTCACTACCTTTCTATACTAATCATAATACGTTTAATTTTATATAACCCTCGGATTTTTGTAGGCCTATGCAGTTTTTTTTTTGTGATTAATCACAAAAAAAAAAAATTAATTACGCTGCGAAATTTACCAACTTAACCAGCTTTCATCTGGGATTTTGATGGAACTCATCTCTTATTGTTTTGTGTATTTGCCACTATCTCTATTTATAGTGACAAATACAATATGACGCATGGTGGCAAGATTATTTTGATCTCATGTTGAAGTCGTAAGTATACAGTCGAAACAATTTCATCAGTGGGCTTTTGCATATTTATTGATACGGAGTTGCGATCACCAATTACTACTAGTCATAGGGGATCTTAATAAATGAAAATGAAATGGTAACCCTGCCTGTGCTATCGATATACGCTGACAAGACATCAAATGAGAGATGATAGGTGAGGATGAAAGCATATCAGTAAGCTAGACATGACGAATCTGAGAATCAACCATGATAGTTTGCAGAGAGAACGATCAACCTGACGAGGTATATTGCTAGCAGTGGGGTTGTTAGACCATTACTAACAATCTCTTTCTCCCTACGATTCATACGAGGGTTCTGTTGATATCAAGGGTCTAATTAAGTCGCTTTTATTATATAAACAAAGGCCTTTGACGTGGTTTACCAGACGACAAATTTACATACCCTCTAAAGCACGAAAAATGTGAAAAGCACTTATAATGATCCAAATATAAGATAAAAAAGTCCTTGATAAATGTTACTTCATTGATTAATCCATGAACATAATAACACTATACGCGTTATATTTTATTCCTTACTCATATTTATGAATTAAGCAAAAAAAATATCAAACCTTCAAGATTTTACTAGGAAATATCAGATTTTCCTCATTGCTTCCACGGATGTCTAGCATGTTTTGTTCACATTAACATAACTTACTGGATAAAAAATACAACAAAAACTACCGGCATGAGTTAAGTATGAGTTAGACCTAGTTAAGTTTTAAATATGTCTTCCCTCAGAATTATACCAATACTAGCTATACCAGCGACTTCGTTCACGTGACTACAACTGTTGGTTGATCGGGATAAATAACAGCTTATAGGTATGCCCTTCGCCAAATACTGTACCTTCATTGTTAAAATCGGTGCAGTGGTATTTGTCTATTATTTGTGTATGAATAAATATAATAGTTGAGAATTATGTATGAAGTTTAGACTCAAAGGTTTGCTTACGCGTAATTTTGTACTTAGGTACTTGAACCTTCAGCCTTAGCTAGATTTTAAAATTGTAAAAAAGAATTATAACCATCAAATCAAAAAATAACAACAAGTGAAAAAGTTAAATGTCTGTATAAAATAAATAAACCGAGCTAGATGCACGTATCGATAACCAAGTCCGAACTCTGCAGTAGATTAAAAAAAATGACGATTTAAAAGTGCTTGTAAACATGTCTATTTGAATAAAGATGATTTGAATTTATTATAAAGTTGTTATTATGTTAATATTAAGTATAAAAGCACTGTTTTAGGAGAGGCTTATGTCCAGCAGTGGACCACAGTAGGCTGACTGTGACGATGACGATGATGATGATAAGGATCTAGGTCACAAATTCAAATATGTCACGCAATTTCTTTTTATAAGTAAATATTAATAATTCCCATACAGATAAACTCAATGTAAGACGACCTCCCCCCCCCCCCCCCCCTCACTACATAGAGCGACAACCTAAATGGATTACAGAAATGCTTATACCTAACAGTCTATGGTAAAGAAGGAATTGTTAGTAATAAGGATGTATGTAGCCTCCATTGCTAGCAATGTACCCCGTCTGTGTATATATATTTATAAAGGTAACGTCATATGTCGTAAAACATATTTAGGTTGTTATTAAAGTACCTATTTACAAGTGGAGTTCACTGCTATAATTATAATACAGTAAAAACAAAGAAAAAATAATAAAATAGCTCACCAAAGACGAACAGAGAAAACGCCTTCATTTTATTTTTATTGCACTGTGCTCGTTCACCTTACAGATTGCAAACTGACCGCTGTATAAGCACAGCCCCCCTTTATAACAGCGGAGTGGGGCGACAACAAAAAGTGGTTTCTGGTCCACGAAGACTGCGCTATCAAGCTGTAAACAACATCCATTACTGGATACCTTAGGATTATGTCATAAATTTAAGAAGAAATACAGCAATGGTGATAAATATGTTAAGAGCGTCGATAAGGTATCATCTGCAGGTCACAGGGTTTGTTTTCGAGAGTACAAAAGAGGAATAATTTGCTTGTTGCCGAGTCGATCGAAATCTAAACTGAACGGTATCTTTTTGCGTGTATGAGTGTGCGTAGGTTGAGTTGGGAAATAGAGAAATGTTGTTGACATAACAATATAGGTACTATCCCCATTGTATGTGTTCGAGTTTCATGTACCATATTAAAAAATAATGATGACGTTGCAATATGCTCATTAGGAAAAATATACGTCTATTTATCAGTACCATCGTTCATTTTCTCTATGGATATAGGTACTTTCTTGGAATAACAAACGAGCTGACCTGGATGAAATTAGTAACTGTCTTCTATGCTATGCAGGAATACTGGAGGGTCTAAAATAAATATTTTGTAAGTGTACATGCGGTATTATTTTTCAATTGGGACTTTTAACCACTCTCTCTTTGGTAAATCCCATTTGCACTTATGTGAAATTCATTACCTTTTATAGTTTTTAATCAATTATATTTTGCTACATCTTATTATTTAAGTAAACTGCACTGACATTTCATTAATTTAGTGAGACTTTATCGGATTATTTATTATTAATTATATCAGTTAACTGAACTCTCTCCAAAGAGAAGTCACTCTCTCTCTGAAGTCCACTGCTGAACATAGACCTTGCCCATAAGGAGGTTTTTGTCAGTATTTGCCACGGCTTACAGGCAGATTGGCAACTGCAGTTAGGCTTTGGTAATATGTTATATTAAGAGAGACGCGTGGGCAGCAGTCCATCTCTCGATCGTTAATTTCTCTTAGTCGCCTCTTACGACATCCACCGGAAAGGAAGGAGTGGCCCGAGCCAGGACCACACAGCATGTTGTATTAATACAAAATAAATAATAAAAAAAATAATAATAACCGATTAATACGACGACCTTAATAGAGAAGCGATTTAACACTCTATCTCGCCTTCAAATGACTATGCAGAAGGTACCATTTTTTAATGGTAATTGATAATCGTCACCTATAACATGATCAGAGCTATGGACATCACATAAACACTATGATGCCCATGGCCTGGTTTTATACCTCCGTATCCGGTAATTTTCTGCCATATTCTACCTTTCAAACCACAGCCTTGTGATTCTAGGATTAACAGCCTCTCTTCTCCATTGATAAATGAGTATTTTCAGAAAAAAAATTAAACTATTCTATAAATTAGATTTTATTTTTTATGTACGTTTTTTTTTTCAAACTTTACTTTGTTTTATTAGGAAATATTAAAGCAAATAAAAAAATAATATGGCAAAATATAAAAAGGAATGTCAAAGCATTTTCCCGGTAATATAGAAACACAATGGATTTTGTGTAAAAATTGGTTCTATTATGTGACTAGATTTAAAAGACTACAAGATAAGTAAGACATATTTTTATTTACTTAAATTAATAATCCGTTTAATTTATAGATAAATAAAAAAAAATTAAGTAGTTTCAAGCGTTTACATAAAATAATGATTTTTATTTCAGTTTCGTATGCCTTGTCATGGTAATTTTTTTAAATTTTTTACAGGAATCAAATAAAAATATTTGTGATTATTGTGGATTATTTGAAAAAACTTTTCGTACTATAAACACACTTGTACTCACACTAAACAGTATTCAAAACATAGGAAAAAACCAGCTGGATTCTATAATCAGTCCATTGATTTGAAGGACCTTTTTTTAATGGGTGATAATGGATTGGTAACCCCACCCGCGCTATCAGTATACGCCGGTGGGGTACCAGTGAAGGATGACAGGTGAGGATGAAGCAGGTCAGTTAGCCCATCGTGACGAATTCAACAAGAATTGTTCACGATGGTTTCCAGGGGAACCACGTGGAGGTCGACCTAATAGGGCATATTACTAGCAATGGGGCTGTGAAATTCCATTTCTAACAATTCCTTTCCCCCCGATTTGAAGGACTGCTTCGAGATCAACCTGATAAGTCTTACGCCTAAACATAGGACTAGACTGTCAATTCACGACTGAATAGTTGCCGTGTAGGTTAAGAGATCAATGAAGACGAAAATATAAAATGTGTTTTCGTAATAGCATTCTACAGCTGCAATGTTACGTATTCTGCTGCTTGATCATTAAACGCTTGGAGATAGAAAATGTAGGTACTACACCTACTTGCAGTTATGAGTCTCTATACTATATATTTTCTTAATAAATTATTTACAAATTGATAGAAAACCAAGCATAAAGAAAGATGGACAAAAGTTTTTTCAATCTAGGTATCTTTACATTCATTTTGATTTCACTTGTAAATAAGTACTATATATTCAATATGGTCTCAGTACCTCTCTCTCTAGATGATAATCAAGTAACTCAATATTGTCGAACGAGATGTTATAAATACACAATACAGCGATCATGTATCAACGCCTTATAATAAAAGAACGGCAATAATGATAATGAAATCATGTTTGATTTAATCAGGCGTTAAAAATAAAGACTAGAGACATCTATTGTCGAGTAGTGAAATTATTAATAGGTATAAATAGCTAAACTAGCAATGCTTTATTGTAACTTATATTATTAATAAAAATATTAAGATGGCGTTACTTGTCATGTTTTCATGAAAAAATATAATCGTAAATCCAAACTTCTTTGAAATTATTTACAATTGCCAGGTACTTAATCTTAAATTTTTTGCCATTCGTTAACCAGATCATAAATGGGTCTCATTATTTTTATATAATACAAGCAAAAACAATGCATAAAAACATGGAGGCATATTTAGGTATATGTCACAGCCAATATTTTTAATTGTTACTCAGGAAAATAAGATACTTGGTTAAAACTTTGGGGAAATAATATAATGAGCTCCTTATTCAGACTTTACAATTTTGATGAACAGCTGATATTTTCTTCGCATCCTAATAATATATTTTTCTGTGTAAGGGGTAAATTAAACCACTTCTAATATAAACATCTTTTTTTTTTATTCCAACTTATAACCATACATAATATACACAGTACAAAAAAAACTTGCTTTCTTCTAATACAGCAATAAGGACAAAATTAAATTGTCACATACTTTAACTATCATTTTGTAACATTCTAACCAAATTGAGAAATTAATATAGGAGAAACTTATCTACACGCCGTATTTTAATGTACAATGCTTCGAGCGAATATGTTTCAATACAATAACTTAAAGGTAAATACACTTCTTATTATGTACTCGATGGAATTCGAATTAAAAATTTACACAATACATACATATCACTATAACTACATTTAAGCTGTAAATAACCAGAAAAGTTTATTTGTATCAATTAAGGAACATAAAACATATCCACATCTCAACGATATCACCATAATCAGACTAATTTACATTGCACATACTCCGATCGCGACCGTCGGACTAAATCACATTTCGAGTACATTTACACACAACTGGTACACAATCCACTCGGACGCTTAAAAATGGCATCTTATACACGAAACGGCGCACAGCGCGTATCACACTCGCTCCCAATCTTACGTTTAAATGCGGAACTTAGCAATTAATGTTACGTCGAGGTTGAGATCAAATGCGGAAGGTCGGCTCGGCTTCACTTGGCTTCGGCGAGCGCTTCCTCTAAACAGCACAGGGAATCTTTAACTGCATGGTACACAATATTCTTTATTTGCAACTTGTCCTCTTTATTGGAGTGCTGGCGCGATAATCGCCGGAATTGCTGCGCAAGCTCAAAGCATCGAGAAACGTTCTCTGGGGATACGAAATCTTCTGCGACTTTGATGCAGTCTAATAGGTTTCGAACTTGATGCGGAGCTCCAGCGGGTACAAAGACGGCATCTCCGGGACACTGTAGTATCGCATAGCCCTCCACTCCATACTCCCGGTATAGTCGTTCACGCAACGCCGCGTCCAAGTACCACGTCTGATCGTGTACCGGATCATGTTGGGCCCTCGGTCTAGCTCCTCGCTCTAACTCTGCGCGGACAAGAAAATCGCGAATTTTATCCGCATCTTTAGCCGCGTAGATGTGCCAGAGGGCTGCTGGAGGCTTGACTCGCGCCCTCCGCCGCGCCAGTACGTCGACGCCAGCTTCTTCGGCCGCTTTAGCCGCTTCTCTCGCGCGATCAGGTGCGTCCGCGGGCGCGCTTGCGTGGACCATTACATTGACTGCATCACTCACGTCTAGATGTAGATTGGTGGTACCTCCGGCGCCACCGTAAGCCGTGTACATCTTGGGACCTAAATCTGGGCGGACGAAGCATTCCGGTAGGCGGGCGGCTAAATTCAACTTGCCATTTCGCGACGTGTATTCACCGAGGGGTAACGCCCGCATGAGATCGTCGAAACGCGCGGGAAGAAGTTCAGCGAAGTCCTCGCCGGGTGGCCAGTCTTTTAATTTGAGCACCATCGGAGCACCACGTTCGTCACGAAGTCTCTTATTGACTAGTTCGAATCCATCCCAGAACTTTCTGGCCGGCTGATTCGGTACTACTAAACCGGATGCACAATTGACTAAATCCACTCGTGTGTCGCCGAAGTCACGGGAGAAACTCTCTGGACTCCAAAGATTCTTGTCGAGGAGACTCGACACGTCTGAGACTAGAACTGGTTGACCACGCTTCCACTGGTCCTAAAACAAAAGAAAAATCCGAAATTAATACCTGATTATCTTAACCAATTTTAATTTATGACAGACAATAGATAAAAACTGGAATGAATGATAGATATACGGCGAATTAATAGATTAGTTAAATACATAGATTAGATAAATATATAGATAGAAAATAGAAACATTAATCAGTAGAAAAAAATGCTTAAATCCTAAAGACCACAAGTATATGACTTTTTTAAAACTTTTATCATACAGTTTTATGTTACTATTTACCTGGAAAGGTTTATAGTTTCCAGGGTGACTGGGATCAGTTAGGTGTAGGAGGCGGCCGTCGCAAAGCCACGCATGTGGTACGTCAGGATACAGTAATTTGGACTCTGTAAGCGTCATAATTCTGACAGGCAGCTCCTCCCTGCTGCGGCCACTCCTGTCGTATCGCTTCACCACATTCGAGAGCGCGAATGGTTTCACATCTTCATCCTCGTCTTTCTTTTCATCTACCACACTGGAGATAACGTCGCTCAAGAAATCATTCTTGCTTTTCTTCTGCTTCTTTTTGGGTTGAGTGTCACCACCTTCTGGGGCTGGTCGTATGAGCAACTCCCTCAACGTCGAGAAACCACCACCCTCTTCGGAATCAGAGGAACTGCTGTCTGACTTCTCGTCCTTTGTCTCGGTCTTCAGTGGGACATCCGTGAGCCAGCTAACTACTGAACTGCCTGTCTTGCCATTTTCAGATTTAACAGGCGACGATCCATTGGTGGAAACATTTTCTTCTTTAACGTCTTCTTTTTTTACGTTCTGTAAAGAAAATTATAATGGTTATTAATTTGTTTGAAAGAAGGTCTAATTGTCTATTGATTAGGTATAAGTCTATACCTAACCTTTACGTCATCTATCAACAATAAATTACAGTGACCGGTTTTAATATAAACTGTGACGATAACGAGTAATAGATTTTATGAAAGAAAATGCACGTTTTAATAATAATATAAAAGACCCTCTTATCGCTCAATTGCACTCCACTGCAAACGTTATTTATTATTAGTAAGCTTACAGCTCCAATGTTAGAAATATACGACATATTCAATCAACTATCAACTCGACCTCTACACAGTCTTCCTAGAATTAAATCCGTTATAATGAGCTAACTGGTCATCCTCATCAGCACCTATCATCACACACTAGAGATACCCCGATACAACAGACTATTTCATTTTAATACTATTAACAAAAGAACAAAACTAATGAAGCCTCTGTTTGAACAATAATAAACAAAAATTTAGTCTCAAATAGGCCAGTATAACCTAATATAATGTATGTGGGTCATTGAGGTTTTTAAAATTAATTTCGATCAGGGGTCTTGACTTCTTAAAAAAGCGCATATGTTCTCTCAGAAATGTGTTTACGTGGGCTGGAGACTTTACATTTCTGTACTGTATCAGGTCGATCTCTACGAGATTTCCTCTGGAAAATCATTACAATGCGTTAACTGGCCTGTTTTCATCTTCACCTATCACCCTGCACTATTGCCCTGCCGGCATATACACAGTGCAGGGGAATTACAATTCTATTATCATCCATCAAAAAAATCTGAGTTCTAGAGTTAGCCCCGCTTAAATACACCTATGGTAATGACAATTCTAAAGTGGGCTCCACTTAAATACACCTATGGTAAGGGGACAATAGACAAAGGAGACACCTTTTGCAGGGCCCGCTGCAGCAGGTGGCGGGCGCGTGCGCGGCGTGCGGGCGGTGCGTCGCCGGCGACGCCGCAGCCGCAGCCCGGCAGTGCCCAGGCAGCGCGCGCCGCGTGCAGACGCGTCGCCGCCGCCGCCAGCGCTCCACCCGCCGCGATCTGCGTCAGCAGCAGCCGCCGCGCCGGATGCGCACCTCCCGCCGTGCACGTCAGCCAACTAGTGAACACAACACGCACACTATAACAACTACGCAATGTAATCTCAGCAGAAGGATGTTTAACCCATAATAAACTACTGATGCCAATTACAAATGTCTATTTTCAAAATTAGGACAGAAATCGAATAGAATTAGAAAATTCTAGAAATCCCCGCTCTACTCTTCTGTAACATTATTCACTTTTTACATTCATTGCTTTCATTAAACTTTAAGGCTGGTTGTGCTACACATGGAAGTTTTCTATTGCAAATATTTCCTAAATAATCGCAATTGAAACTCGAATCTACAAGCCTTTTCCTATATGATGATTAGCCTATTATCCGTTTTTGTATTCTTGCTCTCTTATCATATAGGCGATAGTATATAGCTACCTTCCTAATTAGAGCGCGATTCCCCTTGGAAACCATCCTAGTTAATTCCTATTGAATTCGTCACAATGGGCTGACTGGCCTGTTTTCATCCTCACCTGTCATCTCTCACAAATGCCCCACAAAATGTACCTATATTTTAAGTTAGAATACAACGTATCCATAACATACATTTCTTTCAAAACCATTAAGTAATTTTTGCGTCAAACATCCACCCATCCTTACAAACTATCGCGTATATAACAGGATATGATAACAAGAAATAATTACCCAAATGAATCTCTCTCGCCATTACTGCTGGCATTCGATGTACTGTTTGACTCGTTAGTAGCATTGGCTGATTCTCCTGATGTCCGTGACTATAACAAAATACAATTTGCTTACTCATATTTATTAAACCGCAAATTCCTTAATTCCTTCTTACATTTAATAATATTTATCCTTATATGAATATAAGGATAAATATTGTATGAGACCTATATAGAAACAAAAAACTTCAATCTGCTAATTTCCTATATAAAAGCAAATAAATACACCGTTATCAGGGAACACAATAACTCCTTCATGGGAGTCAGAGAGATTAATTAAGTGTAGCATTTTTTTATATTTAATTTACTATTAATCAACTTACAAAACAATGCTTTCTACAGTAAAATATAAAACAACGTATGTATGTTTTGAAAAATTGGTATTAAAATCTCGTTTACCATTCTAAGTAATTCAAATAAAAACAAATATAAATTTAGTTACTTGAGGAATTTACCTTATAACAATCAAGACATACGACGAACCCGCATTTGCCGCAGGTCCAATGGAAATTGAACAGTGTGGTCTCACACACGTCACACATTTCTCTAACACCTTGCACTACGCGCTTCCACGCTATTGTCTTGTCTGTGAATAAGATAAGAGTATATATATTAACATAGATGTCATACACACTTTCCACTATCTCTACAATGATAAATTAATAACTATGAATAAGTTGACTAGAATAGACGTCATTATTTATTAGTAACTAGACATGTTTACAAGCTCTTTTAAAACATCACTCTATATGTTTTTACCGTTTCGTTCAGGATGTTATGTTGTTTATTTATGACTATTATTCTAAGAATCAGTTATACATTAGCAAACCCGAGATATATATGGATGAGCCATAATTGCGTTCAACCATAATTCAAAGAGTTCAACGACCTGACCTACCACGCCCCTAACACCAATAGTAATATATAGCTATTTAGTACAAGATATATTCAGAAATACTTAGTCAAAATTTTTATATGAGTATATTGTGATATTACATATAAATATGTGCATTGAAATATTCCCCAATTAAATATTATTGGGATTATTTATTACATATACAAACATGAGGTGCATGTAATAAATATCAGTCTACATATTTCGCAAGTCATAATTAAATACAATGACATTGTCTCCTTTATGACACAGCATTACAATAACTATTTTAAATGATGATCTCATTGTAAAAACTAAATACATTCGTAAAATAAATTATCAAATCAGCGAATTCTAGAAGTATAAACTACCACTTTAAAGCTAGCTTTGGGTGTTCAATTATTCTATCATTAAAGAAATAGATAAATAGTAAGTAGGTACTATTATTTAAAATAAATTCCAGTGATGACAATACAAATGGATTGAAATCATTTGCGATCTATAAGAATAGATCTGTATTAATAGAAGAGATTGTTTGAACACTCAAATGTCTGGATTTACCAGTTGGAGTTGGAAATTTCTTTTAACATAGATTTAAGATAGCTCACTTCTTGAGGAAGGTTAATGGCTATTCAACATTACAATACTACGACGGGAGATGCCGCGGTTTATATCTAATACAGATAATAACATACCATCATTTAAATGATGTGATTCGGCCTCTTTCTCCTGTTGTAACAGTTCACAGAACTGGTCTCCAATCTCCCTAAGTAGGAAGCAACTCATTTCTATATCTAATTCCGCCGCACCGGCGGATGATGACAGCCATAGTTTCTTATCCTCCTGTCAAAGATTAAAATATAATAGTTTAATCTAATGTTTACCTTTATAAAGAAAAGAAAACAGAGTTAAATAAATTTTCGAGTAAGACTTGAGATTGTGCATAAAAAGGCAGTCTTGGCGAAAGCTGCAGGGGACCATTATCAAATTAACGAGTCGAAGAAAAAACACAATACAGTATAAAAAGGATGAAAAAAAATAATTACCTCCTCTGCATCCTTGTATGGGTCCGAAAACCCGGCTATAGCTAATTGCCTATTCTTGGCATATTTCAGTCTTCGGAAAGCGTAGAAACGGCAAAAGATGTTCGGCATGTCCTTGTCCCGCTGCGCCGGCGACCACCGGCACTCGCGGCACTTGGCCAGCCGCGGCGCCACCTCGAAGCACGGCCCGTTTTGCAAAAACGACTCGTTGCTGGGCCGCGAGTGCGCGGCGGCGGACCCGCGTCGCGGGGGGTCGTCCTTGCGGCGCCCCCCACGGCCGCTGCCCGCTCCTCTTGATCTCCGGCCCCGCGCGCGACCTCCGCCCCCACGCTTGCTCGACGTACTGCCACTCCCACTCCCACTACCACCAGAATCCGAATCTTTGTCATCGCTTTCCTTATCACTCTCGCTACCACTCTCTGAGGCCTTCTTTTTCTTAGGTTCGTCCCCAGTTTTTCGCGCCACAATACCTTTTTTCCGTTTCGCCTTTGGCGGCTTCCTTTTAGGCGGCGCCGCCGTTTCTCTGTCTGAACTCGAACTGTCTTCCTCGGCGTCGTCGACGCGGCCGTTCATTTCCTTTGGCTTTCGCGGCTTCGATGTTTTGCGAGCACTCCGCTGGATGGACTTCGCTGCTACAGGTACTACTATATTAGAACTGGAGTCATCGGGTTCCGACACCCTTGTAATCGTCATTGGGAGTGTGATGCAAGTTCCACCGCCACCGGAACAGTCCCCCTCGCCGATCGGCGCGGTTTCATGTCGTTGCAACCACGCTTTCTTACCGAGGTGACGAACTGGTGCGGAACCATCACGCGGTGAAGCGGACTTTGCTGGAGTTTCTACTTCGGCGAGAGGCGTGACGGGCGGGGTAGCTGGGGGCGCAGGCGGCGTCGGCGCGGCCGGTGGGGCAGCAGCGCCCGCCGGCGACGCGGCCAACGGGGGCACCGGCGTGGCTGGCGCCGGACTGGCCGCCGGCGTCAGTTGAGGTGCAGGTGAAGCGCCGGCGGCACGTTCGGGTGTTTCGACACTGCCGTCCGCAGAGGGAACGCGGACGTCGCAAGGCGGACCGGGTGCCTGTGGTGCCGGCTCCGAACCGTGTGGCGTCCTACCGACGCTTGCGGCCGCTGCGATCAACGGCTCCGGCGCCGGCAAATCTTCGAGACGCCGCCGCTTCGTCTCCGCGTCGGCAGGCTCGAAGGGGTACCGGCGACGCGGTGATAACCTGTCAGGGTCATCACGAGTAACGCCTAGGTCTAGCGGTTGAGTTTGACACGGCGACGGCGCGTTAGTGTCACCGTGAGCGCGCGGCGGCGGTCGAGGTTCGGGCGTACGACAGTGTGCCACTGGCGGTGGTCGCGTCCGAGGCGCAGGTGAATACGCGGACGGTGGCGGATACGGCACTGGCGGTGGCTCTGTTTTTGGTAACTGCAGAGACGGCTCGACAGCGACAGCATAATGTGCGGGACTAGGTGAGTTACTGCTAGGTTTGCCATATATATGTTGCGGCGCCGGGCTGGACACCTTTGGTTTGGCCTGTGGTGCCGTTTGGTAATAAGCTGGGGACCGTTGTGGAGGAGGTTGATATAACCGCCTATTATTTTTATCTTGCGCTGGCAACGCTGCATGTGGCGAAGTTTGGAGCACTGGATGTGGATGGGGCGGCGCATGCGGTGACAGACCGGTCCGGTACGGTCTTGAAGGAAGGTAATGTGAAGGTTCACTCCTGGGCTTACTGGGATACGGGTGCTTCTGCTCCAAGTGGATCTGTTTGGCGTCGTGCTTGACTATCACAGAATTTTTTTCCGGTACCAAGGGCGGTGGTGCCGGTAAATGTTGTTCTTTAAGTTTATCATATGATCTATAAGGAGGATAATTATATGGTGCAAAATTAGGTTCGCCCTTAGGTAAAGAAGGATGTGGCGCGGGTTTTTCAGGTTTGGATGAAATGGAAAGTCGCGCATGTGGGGAACAGTAATCCGCGGGGGAGGGAGCTGGTGCGCGAGGGGAAGGATGGGAAGGGTGCGCGGAAGGATGCGCAGGAGGTGAATAGTAGGCGCGGTCGGGTGGAGCCGCTCTTAAACGTTCGTGTTCTGGCCCAGCCGCACGACCCGGTGGAGGAATGCTGTTCAGCAGCGACCACGACATGCTACGCTCCCTCTGTAAGTAATAATAAAGATATATTAAAAACTACTCACATGCACAATAATATTCGCATTACATGATTCCACTGTTGCAAGTGAACTCATATAACATTTACTGGTAAATACTATGAAGGAAGCTTGACAACAATTTTAATGAACAGTATTACTTAATGAATATATTAGAAAGAATAACACTATTACATAATTATGACATTCTAAATTAAGTCAAAAGAGCTCATTACTTTATTCTTTATTGTACACAAACATAATGTACAAAGGCGAGCTTATCTCTAATAAGAGATTTCGTTCAGCAAACCTTTTCAACTGAATTGAATGTTATTTAAAAATAAAAATAGGTAATTTATCGTTGATATCATTATGATTAACTGAATAAGGTAATACGAAAGTTGTCTAACCTTCTGGTTAGCTAACCGGAACGACTCCTCGAAATGCCTGGTGACGAGTTTCGAGGCTGCATTCTCCTGGTCTCTCCTCTCTTTTTCTTCTCTCTCCTGTTTTTCCCGTTCTCTCTCCCTCTCCCGCTCCTGCTCTATCCGTTCTCTCTCCTTTCTTTCTTTCTGCTGCTTTTCCAATATTTCCCTTTTCTCCTGTTCCCTTCGTTCTCTATAAGGAAAGAAAACATATCTATTACAATTTTGTTTAATATACCACATAATATATATTGTTTGCCACCTTCGTCGTATAAAAAAGTATTTTCTTAGGAAATCAAAACGAAAAAAAAAACAGATATGTGAGTTTTATGTGAGAAGTTTATTTAATAGTGTACCTCAAGCGGATATGATATAAAGGTATTAAATAAATATGTAATATGTCATAAATCAAGATCAATTTAAATATAAAATTTATATAAGTCGTTAAAAATGTATTAATAGCAGCTTTATAGACACATCTAAATTTATAAATCGCAGTGATCATTTACTACTACTGTACGTGGGCGTAATTAGAATGACAAGTCGATGTCGCATTAATTCGATCACATCAATTTATTAGGCAACTAAGACGTAGTATCTATTGTGTACAATACACATATCAGGTAGTTACTCCAAACTACACACATAATTCGTAGTATAAATCCTATTCACAAACTCCACTTATCAATCGATCGTTCCACCAAATTAATAAATTGATTTTATTGATTGTTACATTAATTATCGATTAGAGTACTACGCAAGTCAATGCCTCGTGATTTTTGAACTAATCTAATGTAAAATATATCTATTCTATATAGGCTGGTTTTAACCCTTCTTTGCATAATGGTGGAAATTTCCAACATAACATTGAATGCGCAAAAATTATATAAAAGAACAAATTCACTTTAAGTTCATCGTGTCTGGATACCTTTTTAATGTCCTTTGCAGAAAAAAAACATAGCTGTCAAATTTATTTAATAAGCATTTTTCCTTTAATTTTGAACATGAATTATATCACCTTGATTTATTTCACCAATATCAAAGCTCCATCTTTATCTCTAAAAAATCATCAATATTACAGCGATATTCTAAGAAAATTTCATTTATACTAATGAATAAAAATTATTTATTGACAAAAAAAAATTACATAGAATTCTTGTAAGCCTTGATCTCTAAACTACCAAATTAAAATTTCAATTATAAAAAAATATATATAGATTGAGAGAATAACGTCTTGTCTCGCAATCAACAATGCTCAGTGACACTACTATGTTCTGTAACGTAGAAAGACAAAGTACAAATTTAAAGGATTATTGACGAAAATGCAGAGGAGAAATTCTGTGATAAATAACGAATGATGAAAAGAAGACTACACAGATAGACCGTGTCCTAGATTTAACATATATAATACAGAAAGTGTATTTTACATAATACAGCTAATACGTAGAAACAAAGAGAATCCAATTAAAACGGGTTACACGTAGTCTTACAACATGTGTAGCTAGAGATAATTAAATGTTCGTTACAAAATCACATTTTAATTAAAGGAGTTAATACTCCTTTGAATTTTATTCAATTTCTTTGAATTTATTCTTGCATAGCTTTTTACCCGCTACTTCGTATGCGTGGATTCCAGAAATAGAAAAATCAATGAACCTTTCTAGATAGCATATCAAATGTGGCTACTACTTATTAAACCCCCTAAGGGGGAGGCTTATGTTCAGCAGTGGACAGTTAAAGGCTGATATAATGATGATGAAAATTAAAGTTATGTAGGTACTAAATATGTACGATAATTGCTATCTATTATCATGTCTTTATTTAGAACTAATGAATACATTTATTAGAATGGTTATCTACCTCGTGTATTTTACACTAATGTTTTACTTACATAGCAATTATTAACACAAAAATTAAATAATGACATCCAAACACATTAAAACTATTTTTTACTCCACAAATTAATTAGTATGAACTAGTCATATCACTAAATGATACTGACAACTAATATGAAATGTCAAAACAACATAGTCAACAGAGAAACAAGACAAAGAAGTCTGTATATAAATCATAGATTAAAAGATTAGATTAAATAAGAACTACAGAGCATACTTAATCTTGTCTTAGAATACCTTGTTTTATCTAACTCTAGTATTCTAAACATAGAGTAAGCATAATATCATTGTATTTTATCTCAGTATGCGAGAATGTGTTAATTTTATCTTTGGATTTTATCCGACAACCTAGTAACAGAACCAATACGATCTATAATACGAGACAATAACATATAAAACAATTTGATAACAATAATAAACGAAGATAAAGAGTTCCACGCAGTATCAATATAACACAGCATAACACCTACAAGATAAGTTTAACCTTGAAAAATACACATAGATAATAGATTATATTTGCATTAACTCATATCAATGAATAACATGTTATGTAATTACTGATAAAATTAAACAAAGTAAACAATATCACTTTGACTAAATGATAACATAATTTACAGGAAATACCTTGGAACGACTCACTTCGACAAAAACACATTTTTGTTTTAGTAAAAATATGTCCTTTTACGAAAATTAGTCACAAAAAAACACTTAATCACTTATTCTCCAGCTGTCCTGCTTTCGTAGAACAGAAATTAAATACTATTCCCGATTTATTTATCAAAATTCCCGCGTAACATTTCTGATTTATTGAGAATTGTTAAAATCTATCTCGCTGTCTATATTTTCATTAAGAATACAGTAAATATTTAACGCTTTGCTACTATTAAGGAATTTTTTTTTCTGAATTTCCTAGTGTTATATTAACGTGAACGAACATTTCGACACGAGATTTTTTAACACATAATTTCAATAAAAGACACGCTAATATAATTTATTAAATATTCTAAATAATCCCTTTATAATACTCAACGTTACATTAACAGAAAAGTGACGTAAAATTTTATATTTTTTTAAAGTGTAATCATAGTGATTTAGAATTTCAAAACATCGTTATTTATATAAGGGATGTTCGTTATCTTTAAGTAGAGAATGGAATACGTAGATTGAGCACAATTTGAACTATATGTTTTCTATGGAAAAAGCTACAATAGATTGACATACAAATACGTCACAGGACCAATTTCCCTAAATACGGTCCAATAAAATGAGTCAAAATATTATTATGTTAGAAAAATGAGATTAGTAAAATGTGAATATGAGTTTTTATTTATTACCCCTAGCACTTGAACGGGTTAAGGAATTGAAATTGTGTACAGACGCCTTATTTAAGATAGAAAAAGAGATCAACCAAATCTTTCCTCTTTATTATATTAGTTTACATGTACGAAGTCGCGAGTAAAAACTATTATCTAAAATTGTGGCAATATACCATTCTAACAGCAATAAAGAGTTAAGTAGATTAAATAAATTTAATAAAATAGACCAGAATATAGTCTATTACATTAAGTTCGTTAAATGATACAGTACTTAAAATTAGCTTAAGCTTGTGTGTGGTGTGTATTTGCCTACTATAATAATTTTCATACCAGACTGTGTTTATAAAGTACCAGGAATTCATAATGTCAATGTGAACGCACATAAATATCGATTCAATTTGTTTCCTATAAATTTAACATATTAGCAGTCAGATTTGTCAGATTAAATGAACAAATTATGAATATGAAATGAAAAAAAAAATACATTTTGCATGTAAACGAAATTTCCTGTTACCGCAAATGATACAGAAGAAATGAGGATGTATTAAAAATTAACCTTTGAAAATACCCTAAATGGTAAAATCGATCAGGTATTTATTATAAAACCTTTTTTGTGCGAGAGTACAAATATTTTTTTATAATAATCATATTATAAATATGATTATTTAAAAAAAAAAAGTTTGCAAAATACTTGCAGTGACACGGGCATACCAATAATATAAAACAAAAAATATAATAATATAACAATAATAGAAAAAAAAATCTTGTTGAATCTGTTGAAAATTCGCTAAAAGAAATGACAACCATACCCCATTCAGTTCACGTGTAATGTGTAATTGTGTAAAAATGAAACGAAGACTGTGTGTGACAAACGTTGGCGTGACTATACGTTGTTAAAAGATAACAAAACAAATTCTAATGAAAACTTGTAGTTTTTATTTAAAAAAATAATTTCCGTTACTTTCAAACAACTTCGAAGACGATTCATAACATTCTCATTTAGTCTGTATTTTTTTTGTAATCAAAAAAAAATATTTTGTAACAACTGAAGCTACAGTTTTTATTTGCAAAGCAAAAATCAGCTTATTACGAAATAAAATTTAGCTGTAGATACACAAGTCTAATGATGGTTCACTCCACATTTACAAAATTAGTGCTAAATTAGCGCTTTCGTACTTTTGTATCTTACTTATCACACCAATGAGTCCGCATCTATGGAAATTCCTAGAATAACATCATGTACTAAGAGAAACTAAACTACGAACATTTATATAAGAACACAACACAGAACAACCAGATACGATTTAGAAATAGATGTGTTCTTTTTTCAAATCACAATTTGAGACAGAAAGTACTGTACTGTACTACTATACAAAGTAGTACTAATACCAATACTGTGGTTTCGATTAGGCAATACACTGCAGACAGCCGCACCAATATCGCCGGAAGTATTTATGATGTGGGTCGACGATTATCTTAATGAGTAAATAGTGTTTGTCATCAGAATTCATCTAAAAATGTACAGTACAGGAACTCTAGTAATCCTATCCTGATATTGCCCAAAAAAAAACAGTCCAACAAATCATCGCGATAATATGCAAAAACCACGGATTTCCAACTGCTGTAGATGATATTTATGGATAATTAGAACTAATAATAATAATTATTATTATTCATAAATTTATTATTATTATAATCTACTTGTAGAACACTAATACCTTAGATTATGAAGAATACATAAGTAGGTACATTATACTATTTATGGGTACACGCAAAAAATTTAATTAGTCTATGTTGTACCTACCGGTCATTATGATCATAATTAAAGCAAGCAGAACGTAGCTTCTAACAGGAAATGCAAAAAAACATATTTGATTAGTTTTTTAAAAGCAGTTTCACGTTGCAAATTATTGTTGTATACCTACTGCAAACAGTTTAAGGTATTAATCGATGGCACTTCACTTTATAGCTTTCGAGTCATC